TTTCCAGTTACTATGAATTCTACAGTCACCTTCAATTTTACCCAAGAATGAGAGGAATTTTTAAAAAGTGTATTTAAGAAGCATATACATAATGGAGTACTATGCAGCTGTAAGAAAAAAAGATCTCTTATCCTTTGAGACGACATGGAGGGACCTGGAGAGTATTATTCTGAGCAAAACAAGCCAAGCAGAGAAAGACAAATAAATATCACATGATCTCACTTATTTGTGGAATATAATTAACATAACAGTCTGAGGAACAGGGTAGTCCCAGAGACGTGGAAGTAAGGTACAGATTGACAATCCCCAGAAGAAGGGGTAGGAGGGGAGAGATAAACCACAGAACTTATATGCATGTATGCATGAACAATGGACATGGACAACAAAGCTGGGGACAGGGCGGGGAGGGGGGAAGGGGGTATCAGTTGGGGAAAAAGAAGAAACATCTGTAACAAAAACAAATTAATTATATAAAAAAATTTTAAAAAAGAAGCATATATGTCAGTCTTCCAAAATACATTTACTGTTTCAATTATAAAAACTAATAGAGCCATTAGTACTTTATCCACTAAATTAAAAAACGTCAAGCCTTAATATTAAAAATATTTTTAATTGTCAATGTAGTAATAGAAGAAGGCATCATAGATTTCATATTTAACACCATTAGTAGTAGTAGTAGCAGCAGTAGTATGAAACAATATCTACTTTTTTCTATAAGTAACAAAGATAGTAAGTAATACTTCATGAATCAAGAAATCACATAGCCAGTTTTTCAATGTCCATCTATTTCAGAAAGTACAGGAGACATAAATATAAGACACATATCCACATTAATTTGGCATCGTAAAAAGATCATTAAATATACTGACAGAAAATGCTTCACAGGAAGGAAAGATCACTATGAGCTAGGATAAACTAAGAACTATTTTCACAGGCGAGGGACATGGGCTGGAGGAGGATTCAGAGCTAAAAAGAGCATTGAAAGCTATGGGAAATAATTTATTTGCTTTAGTAAAAATGAGTCATTCAAAACATCAAATATAAGACATATGCAAATAAAACAATTTAGAGAAAGTTTTCGTTAGAGATATATAATTTATTAAGCTTTTCCTCAAATCACACACTTATGTATAGAAGTGTTACCCTTTACCTTCATTCATAAAACCTCTCAACTTAAGTCGTAAAATAAGAGCTCTAGCAAGAGAAAGAAAAATTAAAGGAAGCTATAAGTAAATAGAAAATTTAGGACACTAGATCATAATATAGTCTTTTGTCAAAGTTAATAATTTTCTATTCTCTGGACCTTTTTCTAGCATGGCATTTCCCCCTAGTATATTTTCTATCTCTCATTCTAGTTTAACTTGGAAAAGTGATAAAAGTTCACTTTGAAAGGAAACTCATTTTAGTGATTTCCTGTCCACCAGAGGGCTCCAATATTTATTTCTTTCACAAATAAAAGAGATATAACATTACAATAAAAATATTCAATAAGTACTGAAAAAATTCAAATTATCATTATCTCATTTAACCCTAGACTAATAATTTTTACATCTGCTACAATATCCACATTAATAGTTCAAAAATATACAGGGCTTTTAACTGTTTTATCATCTAAAATGTTTCAAATACCAAAATTGCTTTGCCATTATTCTCACACTGTCAATTTCTCACTTAAGTAGGGTTTTCAATTTTATAGATATCATCAAGCACAATTTTAAGTCCAAATCTCTAAATGGTAGCTCAAATTTTTTTTAATACTTTTATAAATACAACTTATTTCTTGATAACATTCCTAATCCGGAAAATAAAAGTACCACCTATATACCTAGCCTTGGGCCTTATTACTAACAGATACAGTAAACATTATCTTTCAGAAAACCTATAGTTATTAACATAATTCATGCTACTATTATAAACAATGAATATTGCCCCATTATGACCTATGATTTGGGCTGAGAAAGAAATAATAATGAAAGTGAATCATTTAAATATAATGTATTATTCAATGAGGAATAAAGGGGGAACCTCTGTAATACTTTAAACAATAAAGAAAAAATAAATACCATGTATTATAATGATATTCTGTTTAGACATTCCCAGATTTTTTTCACAAGTAAATTATTATGCTGGAATAGTAGTAAATCTCTTAGTTCAAACTCAACCACTCTTAGCAAAAAAAAAAAAAAAAGCCAATATTTTATGTAAATACATTTATATTATTTATAGGACATATGTAAAGAATGTTAATTGGGAAAGTATCAACTGCAAATTTTTTTTTTAAAGAGTACAGCAAATCCATTCACTAGGGTGCACTCCCCCTCCAAAAAATCAACTTGCTAACTATGAATTATAAAGAGAACTTCTTATGGTAAACACAAAAATTTATTGACTGTTTAAAAATAAATTTTAAATGTGAGTTATATTTATAAAGCAAAAAAGATGCTAAAAATTTGATTTCAAAGTGAGTCACAATAATTGCCATAAGACTTTCCAAAAACATCAACTGATTTAGCAATTACTGTAGCTCAAGAATAAATGATCTCTAAAGAAAACATGACAGGGGTTGTGACTTCACTGCCCCACCTCATCTCCTAAACAGGATTTCCCTATATAATTGACATCGACCATTAACATGGAAAAGAGCTCAACATTTGTTTCTAAATAGCACATACTAGCTGTCACCACTTAGAAACTTGGAAATTTTACTGCACCTAGCAAAAATGCATGTATTCATACTTGAAAGAGCACAGTTCCTGATCAATTTAGAGTTATGCTGCAAGGAAAATGTCAGACTGTAGAAAGAAGTGGGGGTGGGAAGGCTGAGATTTTTCTGAGTGGTAAAATTGTTCTCGCTTTAAGTCATGAATAAAAACACAAATTAACTGTCATTATTTCTAATAAAGAGTTTAAAAATATGAAGCACTTAATCGACAAATTCTAACCAGTATTTAACTATGTTATATTTTTAAAAGTTAAGAATTGTAGGAGCATATCAAATGAAGGCGCTTCTTAAATAAAAATGTGAATACCAAATAAAGGTTTAAAAGGCTTTAACATGAGGGGTAGGGATGGATCTAAAGACCTCCAACAAGAGGAACAGCTAGAAAACAAGACATAAAAAAATATGCCGAACAATCTCATCTGAGCTGTACCTTAGACACATTCTGAAATAGCATCATCAGGATATTATATGTTTATTACATAATACTGCTGTGCCCTTGCATATCACCTTTAATCAAGGGATCTCAAAGCACTACAGAAGCATTAAGGCCTTAAAATACAGTCAGAAACAGAAAAAATTATATTTCATAATTGCAGCTATTAATAAAACCTTGCCACTACTTCCCAGTCCCGTGATCCAAATATTAGCTTCCAAACCTTCTCTGACTTGGAAACATATTTCCCAAATCATTTCAATTTGTGACCCATGCTACGCACATTCCAGCTTTCCTTCATCACTGGGCCTAAAGAAAGTAGTGGCACTGTTTTAATGACACAATCTATTTCACTCTAACTCTGTGACAGTATAGTGCATATCTTGCAGTGTGCAGGATGATATAAAATGGTGGCTTTATGGAAATCAAATTTTTACTGGAAGTGATGAGCCCAAGCACTTACCAGACAGCATTTTCCAGCTTAGTCCAAAGACCTCTCCAGGCGACTTCTAGAGAGGGGTAGAGGAAATCATGTCCAGCTATCTCTTTAAGTGGTCAGAAGACTATTCTCCTGTGTGGACACCAGGAGGAAAGGGAAAACCAAAAGGACAATGCACGAGTTTTAAGACTCAGGAAGGAGAGTGTAAGGTTGCTTGTGTGGCCACCCAAGAGACAAAACGTTGTGGTTCCTTCACATTTAAATAGCACATTAAATGGAAAATCCAATATAAGCAAAATGTCTTTAAACCAAGGTCAAAATACACCATTTAGAGTCATTTGATTTTTTAAATGATTTTAAAGTCTGTAAATGTGGTTTGCTCCTACAAAAACATCTGACATTTTAAAATGAAATCAGCAAAGTTCAATTTTATTTTTTTGCTGGAATACATGAACACTCAAATGTTAACTGAATGTAAGTAAATGTAACTATGCTCACATCAGTTCTTCCATAAACAAGATTAATCTTCTTGTTAATTGCATTATGTTTGTCCCTAGGACTGCAAAGTGTAATTTCACACTCAGACAAACCCACCTCCACCACTGTAAGTCTACATGGTTACTACTATTAGTCAACAAACTCACAACCTTAACGTTTACAAACAAAAAGAAAAGCATCAATAAACAGGAATACTTTTTGTTTCGAGTTCTCAACATTCAAGGATCAATAATGTGTTTTATTAGCTTTTAAAAGTCCAATGATGTAATTAATACAAACCACCAAATATTTGGTACTGAAAGTCCTGGAATATTCATTAAAAGACCCAATATACGGTCAGCCTGGATTTGTGAAAATTCCCAAACATCTTATTATTTCTGTTGCCATACTTGTTCACCTAGACCCTTCAAAAAGATCACCGCAAATTCTCGTGGACTTTTTCTTGACGAGATACAGATACTGGTTTCGCAGTGATCAGTCTGTACGGCGCGTTAATGAGCTCGTCGGTGTCGGGGCAAGATCCCGGTTTTCCTGTCTACCTGTCCCTAGCAGGGGCACGGTCCCGGCTCGGCCCGTCCCTGACGTCTTCGAAGCTCTAAGACACAAGTGTTCAAGACTTCAGGCAAGGAGAGAGCTCCGCTTGGGCTACCTCGCTACATTTTCCCGACTTCTCCATGGCCTTTAATGATTAAAACACAAACACAACGCCAGCAAACAAGAAACACCATACGAAAAGCAGTACTTTCGAAAAGGGGGAAACCAGAACGTCCAACTTCTCTAAATCTGCCAGCACGGTGGCTTTTCCACAGCGCCCTGCCAACTCGCACCCGCGCCCGCATCCTCTCTGATCAGATAACACTGGGAGCCACGATTACCCCGAAGGGCGTCGTGGCTCAGCCTCCACTCACCATATCTGCCGGGACATTGCTGGACATCTTGCCGCTTGATACACGCCGAGATGTTCACGCAAAATAAAATAAAATAAAAAAATTACAGAACGAACAACAAGGAGCAGAAGTCTTCAAGCCACAGAAATCAACGTCAACGATCTCGATCAGCTCGTGATGTGCTTTCCAAACACTCAGGGCTTCGGGAGCCCAAGTGGCGGCCTGGCCGGGGTTCGGCGCGGAAGGGAGCGCTCCCCGAGGAGCCAGCGGCCGGGCGGAGGGCACTCCGGGGGGGCAGCAGCCCTGGCGTCGTCAGCAGCAGCAGGGGCCCCAGGACCGGCCGCGCCAGGTGGACCGAGCCGAGTGACACCCGGGCATGGAGCGGTGGGAGGGGGTTAAGAGCGCCTTCCTCCTTCGCGGCCGGCAGTGATTCACCTCAGCCCGAGTCAGGTCCTCATTAAGCAGAATGCCCGGGCCGCAGGTACACAGATAACTATGCGGCTACACATGGGCGCGTGAGCGCTGAGTGGCCGGCGCGGGGAAGCGGCTCAGCTCGCGCCGCCGGGGCCGGGGGCCGGGCCGCCCGAAGCCGCGCTCAAGGGCATTTAACTCGTTGGGAGCCAAGGCCGAAGCCCGGGGCGGCGCGCGGGGACGCGGAGCTCGGGCTGGGCAGGGACCCACCGCCCCTCGGGGCTCAGGCCGCGGGCGCCTCCGGGCCGCAACGGCTCTCGGGGCGCATCGTCTCCGCTCCCCCGCGTTCCTCTCTGCGTGCCCCCTCCCCGGCCTCGCGAGCTCCCGCGACGCCGACTCCGCCGGTCCCCGGAAGAGGCCGGTCCTCCCTCTGCTCAGCCCGAGAGCGGCTTCCTCTTAGAGCTTCGTCTCGCCTCCTCCACTTCTCAGTCCCAAACGCCGCAGCCGCCTCCTGTCATCGCCCCTCAAGCCAACATGGCGGCGGCGGCGGCGGCGGCAGCTGCCAGAACGCGACTCGGGGACACAGGGAGCTCGCCCCCTCCCCCCTTTCGGCTGCCGCCCCCGCGCTCCCCTCCAGGACACCAAGTGCGTCACTACGGAGACCACCCTGGAGCTTCACGGGAAGTGTAGTCCGCGCGTCCTGGCCCGACTTCGAAGCCACGCCCCTCCTAGTAACAGTTGCTAGGAAAGGAAAGCTTGCTTTTGCCACGCTGTGGCCCAGAAGTTAGGTGTGACCTGGCGACTTATTTGGAGGGAAACAATTCTGCACAGAGAAGTTCCCTCCTGTACACTGTACATACAGAGTTAAAATATGGTTTACTTCTAAGCAGGATCATTCGTTTTAATGACAGCGCGCTCTCCACATCCTGCGATCTGAAAGCATTTTGTGGAGTGATTTCCTCTAAGTCTCAACATTACATTTGGAAGATCAGAAGCACTCATTGATTTCCAATGAGGTCATGCAAGTTCAACAGGAACACGGATCTTATTAAGCAGGGAAAATGTTTGAACATGTGTTTCCTGAAGACCCAAGGCCATAAAGCTACAATCTAGTTAATTGAAATGACCAAAAACTGTATTAGATACAATAGTGAATAGTGCCAAATCTCCACCAGGAAATAGCTGCTACAAACTACGTGAGGATTCACTAGTTTACCAGGCCAGCCTCTAAATTCTGTGTAACTCAAAATGTAAATTGAAAACCTATACACCTGCAGTGATTAGCAAAGAGCACAAAATAATACCATTAGTCAGTGACACATGAAGAATATGTCTACCCCAGATTTAGGAACAAAATGCAGAAACCACAAACGTCTATCTGAATCCATATTCATCTCTCTCTCAGTGCTCTGGCAGACTATTTTAGGAAGGGCAGTCTCAAAAAGACACCTGTGTAAAAATACCAGCAGACTTACTCTGAAAGCCACCTCTCCAAACTATAGCTTTGTGACCTCATCTGTAAGACAGGCTTGCCTACCTTCCACCGTTAGAGTGAGTTCATGCAGGGGAAATAGATTGCTTTGTAAGTAATAATGTATCATTTGTTGTGAAATGTTACTATGCAGCAAAAAACCTTGCCAGGCACTGCCATGCACCCGGAGTTTAAAAACAGATAATCCAGGCACTGTCCACAGGGAACTTACTGTCTGGCAGCTTGTTATTCCTCATAGCAACCTCTCCGGTCAGGTTTGTCTCATCAGGATGGAAACTCACAGAACATGTAGAGTGCCTGCCTCTTAAGTAGCCTGGCAAATTCCAAGTGCTCCTCCGGGCTACCTCATCCTGTGATGAATTAGGTTGGTAACCAGGGAGGAGGAGAGGGCAAATACCCAGAGAAAGCAAAAGACAGAGGAAATAAAGGCCCAACTTGTACCACAATTAGGCCTCAGAACTTTGTCTAAACATTTCTGAGTCTATAGCTACATGATTTTCCATGGCCTTGGTATTTGGTTGCTCATTCTCCATGTTTAGCAACCACAGAGTCCCCTCCCCAGTCCTCCAGAAATAAAGACATTTGAAAATGCCTCAAATGACCAATGAGTTCAGAAGGAATATTGTAATACAGTTTGAAGGTTCTTACTCACAAAGTTAGTCCCCCAACCCACTCCTCACACCAACTTTCCTCCAACCACTGCCGACTGCCCTGGCCACGGTTCTGCTGGGCCTCCATGCTACTACTGCAAGTAGGAAGGCAAGGACCATGGCAGGACTCATGGAAGCTTCAACTCACACCTCTTCTGCTGCTTTCCAAGGGCCATACATACAGCAAGGGTGTAACAACCACCAAGACCAGCCCACGGCCTTGGCATTTCCAATAGGATGTTGCTATTTTCTGCCCGTTACCCGGGCACCACTAGAAGAGACCACATACTTCAAAAATAAAGCACCTAGCTATATTTCCAATCCCTCTTGTAAGAGAGGCTGAGACACTGAGAATAATAACTCAATTGTAACTCTTTCCTCACTGACTTAGAGCATGAGAGCATTACTGAACACAGTGTAGATGTTCTTATCTTTACCCTGTTTCCAGACTCAGGTGAAACAGGAGGCTGCAGAAAAAGCACAGTGGTCCACAGCAGGGAAGGGTAGCATCTTCTTAACCCCATTAATCTATTGTCAGTGTCAATCGGAGGAAACGAGTGACACAGCATTTTTGTATTAGGAAAAGTAACTGGGCAGGAAATCAAAAGACCTGGCTCTGTTAAGAATCAGCTGCGTGACCTTTGCCAAGACACTGCCTCCCTAAGCCTCCATTCCTTTATCTGAGGAGGTTGAACTAAACCTCTAAGGTCACTTCTGAGAGTCTCCGAGGGTCAAGTCCCAGAAGACTAGCACATGACACCCATAGCCTGTTAAAAATGTCACCCCTCAAGTTACTACTCATGGGCGTGAGGGGTTTTTTTTGGAGGGGGATGGAAGGAATGAGGAAAATATTCTAAAATTAGATTTTAATGATGGTTGCACAACTCTGTAAATATACTAAAAGCCATTGCATTGAACACCTTAAATGGGTGAATTTTTTTTTTTAATTATGGTAAAATACACATAAGATAAAATTTACCATCCTGAATGTTCTTAGGTGCACAATTCAACAGCATGGCCAGGAAGCGAGAACACGGGGGCCAAAACAGAGACTAGAGGAAAAGGCTGCAGGGAGGGGAAGCGACTCAAGTTCCGCGTGGTGCGTGGGAGTGGGGCAGGGACAGTATAAGAAAAGGGCAGGAGGGAGAAACTAGAGGCCAATCACCAAGGGCTTAGCATTTTAGGTTTTGCAAATGAGTTTGGATTTACTCTGACAGCAAAGGGAGCCACTGAAAGGTTTTAAAATGGGGAGTGTCAGATAAGATTTGCTCTTATGAAAGGATGGAAGGTCTCTGAACTCCAACAGTACCTTTTGTCTGTATTTGGGGGGTTAGTTGTCATATGTGCAACCTCTTGGACTCAAATAATTTAAAAGTTTTTAAGGGGTCTTGGAGGTGATTAAGCCCCAACTCTTCATTTTACAGATGAGGAAGCCACTAGTTCAATGGGAGGCAAGTTGACTCCTAATACAGAGCTTGCTTCACTACCCCCTCTCCTGCCAACAGACTGCTACAAAAACAAGGAGGACTGCTCGTCAATCTATTGCATAATCTATATATTTTTTTATTTTTATCGATTTTAGAAAGAGAGGAAGGGAGAAGGAGAGAGAGAGAAAAACATCGATGAGAGAGAACATCAATTGGCCGCCTCCTGCATGTCCCCCAGTGGGAATTGGGCCCACAACCTGGGCATGTGCCCTGATTGGGAATCGAACCAGCAACCTCTTGGTACGTGGGTCAATGCTCAGCCACTGAGCCACACTGGCCAGGCTGCATAATATATATTTAACCCAGTATGTATTTTCACGTTTCGTTTTTAAAGTAAAAAGTAATATCAATGACCTAGAAATTCTAGAAACTAGAAGAACTATTTTTATTTATTGTATATTTTCTTCCAGGTGTTTGATGTACATGATTTCACATATTTATGACACATTGATGTTTTTCTTTGAAATACTAAATCAGAACTCATTTTTTAAAAATTGAAGAATGCACGTTTACAAACGGCTACCTAATCTACTCCTCGTTTTTAAAGGCTGTGTAATATTCCACTGCATCAATGTCCAACAGTTCATGCTATCATTTTCCATTTGGAGGCCATGAAGATTGTAATTGCATAAACTTTGTGCATATAAATCTGTCTGCACTTTGAATTACTTGTTTAGGCCAGAGTTCAAAAACTGTTGTCACTGAGTCAAAGTCGGAGAGCATTTCTACGGCTCTTGAATGGCGTAACCAAGTTATTTTCCAAAAGGGTTTACCTGCTTAGAATGCTACCTACAAGTGAGGATACCAACTTGACCACCCCTCCCCCCCCGCCCCCCGCAATCCCCAGCCCTTTTAAATATGTATAGGTCTATCTATATATTTGTGATATGTCCATACACCCTTGATACAGTAGTGATACACAGTGGTGACTGGGGAAGGTCTGAGCCCCTTCACAATAATCTCATCAACTCTCCTCCAAGTAAAGATACAATCCAAGTAAAAACAGCATTTGCTATGCAAGCCCGGCTTCAGCAATACACCCACATCCATGGGCAGACACACACACACACACACACTCTCCAACCAGATAGGAAACCCCTCATATTTAGAGATTTTGGAGCTGTGTATACTCATTTGTAAGTTTTTTTAAAAAAAAAAAGCCCTATACATTGTGGTTGTTTATTTTGCATTTTGATAATTTCCATAGGATTAAGCCTTTTTCTATGCATAAGAAATAAATATTTTTGAAGGGTTGACCCTGAGCAAGCAGAAATGAGGCATTCAACACAGTAAGGTCCAGGCTGGTGTGAGATTAAACATGGGAGGCCTGTCTGGCACGAAGCAGGGGTGCCCCAGACCTGGGGTGGGTGCATCCTCCCTCCTGCGGGATGGGGCCTGAGATGCTGGCGGCAAAGACAGCAGCGGTCCTTCCTTACTCTCTGGTTCCCTTGGAAGACCACTCATTTGGGAGCTTGTTCTCAGAATCTAGACTCACTGTCATGACCCTGGAGCTTTAATGGTCTTT